GTCATGATCCAGTGGTCAGAATGTTCCATTCTCTTTTCATTGTTTTGAAAATCCCACTGTTCTCCATGCCATCCAGTCATGATCCAGTGATCAGAATGCTCCATTGTCTTTTCATTGTTTTGAAAATCTCACTGTTCTTCATGCCATCCAGTCATGATCCAGCGATCAGAATGTTCCACTGTCTTTTCATTTTTTGAAAATCTCACTGTTCTCCATGTCATCCAGTCATGATCCAGTGGTCAGAATGTTCCATTCTCTTTTCATTGTTTTGAAAATCCCACTGTTCTCCATGCCATCCAGTCATGATCCAGTGATCAGAATGCTCCATTGTCTTTTCATTGTTTTGAAAATCTCACTGTTCTTCATGCCATCCAGTCATGATCCAGCGATCAGAATGTTCCACTGTCTTTTCATTTTTTGAAAATCTCACTGTTCTCCATGTCATCCAGTCATGATCCAGTGGTCAGAATGTTCCATTCTCTTTTCATTGTTTTGAAAATCCCACTGTTCTCCATGCCATCCAGTCATGATCCAGTGATCAGAATGCTCCATTGTCTTTTCATTGTTTTGAAAATCTCACTGTTCTTCATGCCATCCAGTCATGATCCAGCGATCAGAATGTTCCACTGTCTTTTCATTTTTTGAAAATCTCACTGTTCTCCATGTCATCCAGTCATGATCCAGTGGTCAGAATGTTCCATTCTCTTTTCATTGTTTTGAAAATCCCACTGTTCTCCATGCCATCCAGTCATGATCCAGTGGTCAGAATGTTCCATTGTCTTTTCATTGTTTTGAAAATCTCACTGTTCTCCATGTCATCCAGTCATGATCCAGTGATCAGAATGCTCCATTGTCTTTTTATTGTTTTGAAAATCTCACTGTTCTTCATGCCATCCAGTCGTGATCCAGTGATCAGAAAGTTCCATCGTCTTTTCATTGTTTTGAAAATCTCACTGTTCTCCATGTCATCCAGTCATGATGCAGTGGTCAGAATGTTTCATTGTCTTTTCATTGTTTTCAAAATCCCACTGTTCTCCATGCCATCCAGTCATGATCCAGTGATCAGGATGTACCATTGTCTTTTCATTGATTTAAAAATCCCTGTGTTCTCCATGCCATCCAGTCATGATCCAGTGATCAGAATGTTTCATTGTCTTTTCATTCATTTGAAATTCCCTGTGTTCTCCATGCCATCCAGTCATGATCCAGTGATCAGGATGTACCAATGTCTTTTCATTGATTTGAAAATCCCTGTGTTCTCCATGCCATCCGGACAGTTATTGTTCTGAGTTATCTTTAAATATTCTGCGAAGGTGCTATTCCCCTAAACAATTTGATACTAATGGCGGAAATCTTGCTCATATATATTACCAATGCTATTCTTAATATCGGTCATCTCGCTTCGTAGAACAGAATTTTTTCGTGAATGAAAAGCTAGCCTGGAACAGTTGCTAAGAGTTCAACTACATTCATGCATGGTTTCCGGATGTGCATTATTTCAGCAAAAAAACGCGCTAATTACTCTTCAATGAATCCATCATAACTTGAACTTAGAGATTCAAGATTGTGTCGGCGTTAACCACTTGTATTTAAATTAACATAATGAATCGTGTATTTAAAGGGTTTGCAAGATATTGTGCCATTTAATATACGAAGTGTGATTTGTTCTGCTCCGGAGTAAAAATGAACGGCAAGTTACTGTTGATTATCTTCTTCTTAAAGATCGCTGGGAGAGTACTTGGAACAAATAAGTGAGTCGCTTATAATTTTCACAGATGCAATTCTATTGTGCTTTTTTTGCTCCATATTTTCTTAGAAATGTGAGAGTTTAGCTACAAAACTCGTTGCCCGATGTAAAACCTCGTACAGACGAGCAAATTCTTCTTGACAAGAATGATTCCTTTGAATTTCTTTTATTTGCTCGTGTGTAGGGCAAAAAATTGATATTCTTCGTTGCCAAGGAGCCTTGTTCTAAAACCAGCTTTTGGATATTATCTCTAGGAAGAACAGTTTAGAACTGATAGAGCTATCCGGCATAAATATAGCTAGTTAGTTTAGGTTTCCTCCTGTAGTAACACTGGATCAATAAGAGATGATTCTTACTGGACCTCTAGAAAGAACAGTTTAGAACTGATAAAGCTATCCAGTATATATAAAGTTTTTTTTTAGGTTTCCTCCTGTAGTAACACTTGATCAATAAGAGATGATTCTTACTGGACCTCTAGGAAAAACAGTTTAGAACTGATAGAGCTATCCAGTATAAATAAAATTAGTACTAGGAAACGTTGTTGTGGAAACATTTGTGATTCTCGATGTTTCCTCAAATGTTTGCCCACCCGTGGAAACATTGTTGCGGAAACAAAATTTTTCTTCCCGAGAAATAGATCAATTCGACTGAATTCGCGCGAAAAATCGACCTAGTGGTAACTGATGCGAAATAAACGATCATTGTGTTACTACAAAAACAGATCAATGATTTATTCACTATTGTCGAAATTCATGCATAGCCAATATAACAAACTATAAGGGCATACTTTATACTTCCTGAATCAATATGATATTAAACGTCATTACGTTTTTTGGGTTGAAAGGCACTTGCAAAGCACTCCTAAAAGTACTTTGCTTTGATGTCGAGTTGAATTAGTCATTTTTACCCTCGCTTGCAGAGTTGACTTTCATTTAAACTGAACGTCAAGTCTTCGGCGTTTGGAACGAAGGCTTTTCGTCAGAAGTTGGACGCGAGAGTTTAGACGGAGGGCTTTCGCTCGAAACGTCGGAATTGTGTTTGTATTTTTTAAGTAGCTATATATCGCTTGCATCCACAGCTGTGTTGTTATCGTCGCACAAATCGTTCGAGATTAACAGCTAGAGCTTTACCCGTATTCTAAAAGTCCCCTTACACTCAAAGATTGGTCTGACAGTGGCGCCTAAATTACTTTGAATTTGTACTCGAGTAAAAGTAGAAGTAATTAACAATAAAACGACTTGAGTAAGAGTAAAAAGTACTGGAGGCAAAACGTACTTAGGGAAAAAGTACAAAGTATCGTTAAAAAATACTTGAAGGAAAAAGTAAAAATACTATTGTCTGTAGGGGGGGGGGGACTTCTCCAATGGATTGGCATACAAGACGCAAAACAGCGCACGCATTATATGCGTGCACCTAATATACAATATTTCACGCCATGGTCTACTTTCCAGACCCCGTGGAAGATATAGGAAATCTATTAAATAAATAATGCTTATAAGTAAACCACAAACGAGATATCCCAGACGCATGTAGAGGTCCTATTACCTATCCCAAAATTAAAATAAATCAGGAATAGATCACGTAAAATTAAACAAAAGTTAGAAAGTAACGAAATACTTTGCCACAAAATGAAAATAACGAAGTAAAACGTTACTTCTTAAAACGACTTCGTTCCAAATAAAAGTATTCCAGAAAAAGTTTACTTTGTTACACGACTTATCAAAAATAATACTCAAGTACAGTAACGAAGTACATTTACTTCGTTACTTGACACCACTGAGAGTGGAGGTTCAATCCGAGCTTCCCTGAGTGTCAATGCTGTTTATGAATAGCTGGAGGGTGAGTAGTTCCATAGTAAAGCCCTGGGCAAACTAGGAAACATTGTTGTGGAAACATTGTTTCCTATGCCAATCTTTCGCCATGTTTCCTAGAGTGGGCAAACACTAGGAAACATTAGTGAGAAACATAGGGAAACATAAAATGTTTCTGAATTCGCTAGGAAACATTTTTGCTTCTCGGGAAGCAAATTTTGTTTCCACAACAATGTTTCCACGGCCGGGGGGCAAACATGGAGGAAACATCGAGAGTCACAAATGTTTCCACAACAATGTTTCCCCAGGGCTTAAGGTACGCCACTATTTCTTTCAGCTCCTATGTGATTCTCGCGCCAAAAATATTCCGTCCTGGTATGAAAGCAAAAATCAATGTGTTGATCTTGAAAGAACAACCCCCCGGAACTCCAGTTGATGTCGAGGCTACGTTCTTAATTAATTCCATTCCCATTGCATCTGCCGCTGGACAGTTTCGTGCAGGTATGCGGTCAACATAACACAGTGTGCTCTATACATACCTGGAGTAAGAAATTCAGTCATTCGGCTTGCACACGTAAAAATCTCACAATTTGTCAACAAGATGTGTTCGCAACAGGCTTGTAGCAAGCTTGTCAACAAGTTGTAACAATGCTGTTATTTTATCAAGTTGCAAGAAGATTGTCACTCACAACTTGTTGAGAAATTGTTGAATTGCAGGACGATAACAAGTTGTTGTAACAACTTGTAACAAGTCTGTTGAGCTCAACAACCTTGTAGCAAGTTGTCAACAAGCTGGGAACAAGCAGTGCGAACACATCCTGTTGACAAGTTGTTGGAACAGCATTGCTACAAGTTGGAACAGCATTGCTACATCTGTTGCAGTTTTGTTGTGCTTTATATCTCCTCAACAGGCTTGTAGCAAGTTGTTAACAAGTTGTGACAATGCTGTTCCAACAACTTATCAACAAGATATTTCCTCAACAGGCTTGTAGCAAGTTGTTGACAAGTTGTGACAATGCTGTTCCAACAACTTATCAACAAGATATATCCTCAACAGGCTTGTAGCAAGTTGTTAACAAGTTGTGACAATGCTGTTCCAACAACTTATCAACAAGATATTTCCTCAACAGGCTTGTAGCAAGTTGTTGACAAGTTGTGACAATGCTGTTCCAACAACTTATCAACAAGATATATCCTCAACAGGCTTGTAGCAAGTTGTTAACAAGTTGTGACAATGCTGTTCCAACAACTTATCAACAAGATATTTCCTCAACAGGCTTGTAGCAAGTTGTTGACAAGTTGTGACAATGCTGTTCCAACAACTTATCAACAAGATATATCCTCAACAGGCTTGTAGCAAGTTGTTAACAAGTTGTGACAATGCTGTTCCAACAACTTATCAACAAGATATTTCCTCAACAGGCTTGTAGCAAGTTGTTAACAAGTTGTGACAATGCTGTTCCAACAACTTATCAACAAGATATTTCCTCAACAGGCTTGTAGTAAGCTTGTTAACAAGTTGTGACAATGCTGTTCCAACAACTTATCAACAAGATATTTCCTCAACAGGCTTGTAGCAAGTTGTTAACAAGTTGTGACAATGCTGTTCCAAAAACTTATCAACAAGATATTTCCTCAACAGGCTTGTAGTAAGCTTGTTAACAAGTTGTGACAATGCTGTTCCAACAACTTATCAACAAGATATTTCCTCAACAGGCTTGTAGTAAGCTTGTTAACAAGTTGTGACAATGCTGTTCCAACAACTTATCAACAAGATATTTCCTCAACAGGCTTGTAGCAAGCTTGTTAACAAGATATGTTCGCAACGGGCTTGTAGCAAGCTTATCAGCAAGTTGTAACAGTGCTGTTATTTTATCAAGTTGCAACAAGCTTGTCACTCACAACTTGTTGACAAGTTGTTGAATCGCAGGATGATAACAAGTTGTTGGATAAACTTGTAACAAGTCTGTTGAGTTCAACAACCTTGTAGCAAGTTGCCAACAAGCCGTTGACAACTTGTCAACAAGCAGTACGAACACATCCTGTTGACAAGTTGTTGGAACAGCATTGCTACAAGTCTGCTGCAGGTTTGTTACAACTTGTGCGTTTTTACGTCGGTGTATAAGATGGTAGCTAAATTATATAAGATGCGTTCGCAACAACCTTACAGCAAGTTGCCAACAAGCCGTTGACAACGTGTCAACAAGCTGGGAACAAGCAATGCGAATAACACATCCTGTTGACAAGTTGTTGGAACAGCATTGCTACAAGTCTGCCGCAAGTTTGTTACAACTTATGATGAAAAGAATGAACATTATTTCCTCAGTCTGATAACTGCTGGTTGAGCACCATCTGCGACAGAATAGTGCTTAGTGATACCACCTAAATTCCCGTACAAATATTTTTATATATAGGTACATTGGGCTCTCTTCAGCTTTCGGTAAGTTTGAGTTTATTGCATTTTTCACTGATTGGTGAGCGGATTTCGCAACAGGCTATATTGCCCAATTGATAGGGGATCTGAGGTACCTACGATGTTAACGTCCTTATCCGAGAGGACGCGAAAGTCTAACCATTTATTGATGTCAATGTAAAGGTAGAATTTCTCCTCAATTATTTTAAGACCTTGAGTAGAGGTCCGACCAAGGATTCAACCTGGCTCTCGCAGCCTGAAAGACAAGCATGGAGACCACGATTCCAAAACTAGGCAAGGAGATGCACATAAATTACCACAGCTTGAAAGAGCATACTAAAATAAGTAAAATTACAAAGTTTGGTTGCGAAACGTTGTAAAATGCAGAAAATATAGCCTTGCAAAGTTCGCAAATTGTGTCCATTTTCGGCCCAAATGTGGTAGCAATTTCCGCACGCAATACAAAAGTATACAAAATTTGCGAACTTTGCAAGGCTATATTTTCCGCATTTTACAACATTTCGCATCCAAACTTTGCAATTTTACTGATATTTTAGTACGCTCTTTTCGGGAATATACTTTTTTGCCAAGATAAAAAAATTAGTCTATAATGGGAATTGAGTATTGTTGTCATATACATCGAATGAAAAATCTTCGTAACTGTGAAGGTATTTATATTATTGTGTTTTGTCAGATTCCATTTGAGGGTTTTCCTCGAGACAGTAACCGCTACAACATCCGAAAACAACTCCGCGTCACCGGTACTGGTGGCCTGACCTTCAACACAACTCAGACGAATGGAGTGTTTTTCAATACGAAAGGATTCTCAATTTATGTTCAGACTGACAAAGGCGTTTATAAACCCAGTCAAACAGGTGAGATGCGTGATGCACTTCACGCGGCCTTGGTTGTTATTTATTTATTTAACTTTGCCAAAGGACGTGCTACATATGACATACACAAGGCATATAAAAACGGATGGCGGGCTTTCGCCAATTTATAGCGGCCTTAAACAGATAAATAAGATACGAACAAACACATTAAGACTATAAAAACTAATGACAACACGATATTTGACAGGACAGCCGATTACGAGACTTGTTATAAGGCAAACATATACTGATATATATTTCCATGTTCTTGGATCGTCCACATCGTATACGTTTTTCTTTATCTTAGTTCACATGAGGATCTTGGCTGTCTACCCGAGTCTACAGATTCATAAAAGCAAGGTAAGAATAATATGCTACGAACTCATGACACTTACACACGTAAAAACGCACAAGTTATTACAGGTCTGCATACAAACAAGTTGTTACAAATCTGTTCACAAGCTGTCGACAAGTTGTGTTCGCACTGCTTGTTCCCAGTTGTTGTAACAAGTTTGGAACAAGCTGTTAACAACCGATTGGAACAAGCTTCATGGCATTATCAGACATGTTACAAGGTTGTTGTAACAAGTCTCAAATTCTGATACAGTCATGATATAAGAATGTTACAATGTTGATGACACAAGGTTGTAACAATAGGTTGATGACACAAGGTTGTCTTGCTGTTCGTTTTAGAAGCTATTTTAAATTCCCAGAGGTATATCAACGCACGTTTAACAACAAAAAAGCGATTTCTATAGGGGGACTTTTTGGGACACCCTGTAGTTTACGTATTGACTGTAAATATTCTTACATGCCTGATAAATGTTGTTTTGTTTCAGATGACAATTGGAATAACGGTAAGTACTGGAAGAGTGCAACCTCTTTTAATCGTTCTCAACTTTTTCCAGAAAATTAACACATGAATTAAGTAAAATCTGTCAAAGCTGTTAGCCCCTTCCTTCGAGAAGAAAGGAATATTTTTCATTTCTTTTATGTTATCGTAGGATGAGAAGAACAATAAATTGGCTTCGTGGAAAGATTTAATTACGCCATCAGGTACGAAGCGTTTAAGTCAATGAAACATGTCCTTAGATATATACGCATGTCTTCCTGAACATAGAGATTATAAATAACACTATATATAGAGGGGGCATCGAGGGTGAAATTTAGGAGCGTGGTAATGGGGAGCAAATTGAAATTCCAGATGAACATTGAACACTACACAAATCTTGGGTTACACCAGAAAAATTTAAAACACAAAACTGAGTGTTTTATATGATTTGTATGTCATTACTACAAACATTCCCTCAAAATTTTGAATTCAAACGATTAATTTCTCTTGAAAAGATGAAAATTGCTGACATCAGCATTATTTTGGAGCGCTCTCAAAAATATGTTGTAGACAAAAATATGTTGTAGAGGTAAAAATGCTTGGTAAAAATCAAAATGGGACTACTTAACTGCCATAAACGAGAATTTAGATATTTTGGCTCAAACTCGCTGTTATTTAAGCATTTTAATTTTTTGCCCCCCAATAGCCGCGTTTCCTTTCTTTGACTGAATTAAGAGTACGATGCCCCCACTAGTGTCATTTATAATCCCTATGTTCCTGAAGGTTTAGCAAGGTAGCTGTTTCTGTTTAGGCGTGGTCACCCGAGATTTTGAGCTGTCGTCTCAACCGAATTTGGGAACATGGAAGATCACTGTTGAAGTTGACGTAAGTTCACTTCAAAGAATTATAAAATATTTATATATCCCGGGTGTTTGGTTGAGTGAAAATTGAAGGGCCCTTCTCACATGCGTCTGAAGTGAAATTATATAATCCGAGATCTGCATATATGGCAGGAAATAAACGCCAGACCTCATGCATTTACTAACCAGCCAAATACCCCAGAATATAACTCGACAATGCATAAAATCTAATTTCAAATATTTTAGGGAAGGAGAGAAGTGAAAACATTTGATGTTCGTGAATATGGTGCGTATATATTGTGTATATACGTTTTGTGTAGGCTACACACGCAAAAATCTCGCATCTTGTAGCAAGTCTGCCAACAAGCCGTCAACAAGTTGTGTTCGCACTGCTTGTCCCAAGTTCTCAACAAGTACGGAACAAGCTGTTCACAGTTGTAACAAACTTGTTGATATTATCAGACTTGTTGCAAGGTTGTTCCAACAAGTCCGATACAGTCATGATATTATAACACTATTGTTACAACCTTGTGTCGTCAACCTTGTAACATTCTTGTTATATCATGACTGTATCAGACTTGTTAGAACAACCTTGTAACAAGTCTGATAATGCCACCAAGCTTGTTACAAGTTGTTAACAGCTTGTTCGCTTAACTTTTTCGCTTTATATTTTTCTTATGTCATTATTATATATTACACTTTATTACAGTTTTAAAATAACGTGTTTGTTACGAACTCCTTATTGCCTCACTATAGATAGTGTATAATGTTTCTTGTCCTGCGTTTCTGCGTTTGTCATTTGACGTATAGTATGAACGCGAGGCTTGAATTGTCTTATTTCTGTAATCAGTGCATTTTTTAAGGATACTTCAGTGGTGGGGCAAAACTGCCAAAGGGCCTAATTTTTGTTGACATCCCCTTTCAGGCTAGTATGCGATCGTCAAAGGTGTGAGCCGAGTACTGCAGGCACAAGTTATAGCTAGGAGGTTTGGGAGCATGTCCACTCACCCCCAGGAATTTTTTAAAACTTGGGTCTCTTAAATAGCATTTCCTGCATTCTGAAACACATTTAAACTCAGATTCTCAAAACAAAGTTTTAATGGTGAAATTTCTAATAAATTGCATGTTAAACATAAACTGCTTTTCAATGTTAAACTCATGCATTTACTAAAATACAGGTCCTAGGGCCCTGACTTTGGGACAATAGGCCATTTGTTTTCTTCAGTGGTGGGGCATAGGAAGGGGCCCAGTGGGGCAAATGCCCCACCAGTCCATGTGTCTGTTATGTGTGCGTAATTTCTCCGTGTTAGCCAGCGTAGGTAAGTAATTAAATACTTCAAAGTCTTCAAAGCTTTTTATTTCCTTCTGTTTCTTTGCAGTTCTTCCAAAGTTTAAAGTTGATGTTTTGACAAATTCCTACGCGGCATTGGGTAATGGAGAGATACGAGGATTTGTTTCGGCAAAGTGAGTTAAGAATTTACTATGATAATTTATTTTGCCTGTACCAGATGTTTTATTTGGCCTCCTTGCTGAAGTGATGGTGTTCACGAGAATTTTGTTGATATTTAGGTACACATATGGCAAAGGTGTTAAAGGACTGGCCAAAGTTTGGTTGCAGTTTCAATGTGCTTTTCAGTCAAAGTGCGACACACACCCGCACAGAGAATTTCAGGTATATTTGTATAAACATGCAATATTCAATACTTACATTTGCCCAGCTTAGAGCATTTGCCCAGCTTAGTTAGGGCTGACGTAAACTTGATAATTACAATGAATTTAAGATATATTGTTGGGTTTCTGTTAACACTTTTAAGAGCAAGAAAATTCAACTTCATCATCTATCAATTCTATCTACTTTCCTTCAAATACAAGATCACTGCATACAATTAAAAAAATTAACATTATTTTCTCACTTTGATATCTGTTTAGAGTAAGAAGAGGTCATCAAACCTATTGACATTTAACACAAATGATAAATTATTTCAATGGTCCATTGCACCGGTGTAGCAGACATTATTTTTAAAATAGCCATATCATTGCTCCCACTTGACCAGTTGTATTAACATTTGTCAAAATTTATCTCTTAGATTATTTAAATGTTCGATGCCCACTAATAATTAGCTGTCTAAAAATCTGGAATATACCTATTGCATTTTTGGGGGGCATCCTGCATATCCTGCAGAGGATCAAAGCAAAAGTTTATCCGAAATGTTTAGGAATATATTTCGTTTTTAAGCTTGATGAAAATCATTCATTCAGCATACCTGAGAAAGAAGTGAAAAATATGTATTACAAACATTGCGGGTATAACAATGCGTATAAATGGACGCAATTCGCGACTGTTAACGTATCTGTGACCGAAGACCTAACTGGAAAGACGTATTTTGGAACAACGAAAGTCGCTATCAGGAAAACTGATGTTGTATTGACCTTTCCTGAGGCTAACCCAAAGTCTTTTAAACCAAGTGTGCCGTTTCAAATCTTGGTAGGTTGTAGTGTTTGTAAGCGAGGAAGGAGGGAAGGAAGGAGGGAGGGAAGGAGGGAGGGAAGGAGGGAGGGAAGGAGGGAGGGAGAGAGAGAGAGAGGGAGGAGGAGAAGAAGAACGAAAGAAAGGGAGGAAGGGTGTGGATGGGAGGGAGAGAGAGGGAACGGTAGAAAGGAAGGTAGGGAAATGGGAGGTAGTGAGATGGGAGGGGGAGAGGAAGAGAGAAATGGAGGGAGGAAGGAACGGAAGGAGGTAGGGAGGTGGGGAAACAGAGAAAAAGAAAGGGAGGAAAGAGAGGGAGGAGAAAGAGAAAAGGAGGAAGGGAAGGAACGGAAGGTAGAGAGGGAGATGGGGAAGGCGAGAGGAAGGAAGGAAGGGAGAGGGAGAAAAGAAGAGAGCAAGAAAGGAAGAGAGAAAGGAAGGAAGGAATGATGGATGGTTTATAACAGAATATTTAGGAATTAATGACATGTTATTTTCAAACTTTGTTTAGTTGAGGGCGACACGTCCAGACAACACTCCGCTTGTCAACCAAACTGTTCGAGTTCAAATATTAGAAAGTTTAGCTGGTTTTCGTAGCCCGGACGAGGACGGAAACTGGACTTCGTACTACACAGACGAGAATGGCTACCTTAGTTTTAATCTAAAAGTTTCCAACGACATAAACAGCGTTAACATTTTTGTAAGTAACGTTACGATAAATGTTATCTGGTCAACTGGTGTTGGTATTAGCGTGATTTGTCCATGTACTATTTAACAATTAGTCGCCGAATGCTAGGTGATTACAAGCCCATATTCACTGAGCCGAAGGCGAAGCGAATATAGGCTTGTAATCACCGAGCCTGAGGCGATTAATTGTGTTAGTATATTTTCAGTATTGAAAAAGTTTTATTTATAAATACAACTAATACACGTGTTTATTTTATGAATATAATTTGCATAAGTAATTTACATCCGTCTCATTTCCAGCCATTTTTTTTTTTTGGGGGGGGGAAGCAATAGTTACTACACATCCGATATCAGGATGTGTTCGCACTGCTTGTTCCCAGTTGTTGTGACAGGTCTGGAACAAGTTGATATCACCTTGTTACAAGGTTGGTGACGGTAACAGACTTACTACAAGTTGTTCCGACAAGACTAAAACAGGCTGTTCGTAACAAGTTGCTACGAGCTTGTTGTCATCAACTTGTTAACAACTTGGTACGTGCAGACGATGTTTGGAACAACTTGTTGCGAGTCTGTTGGCCTCATCAACCTTGATACAAGATGATAACAACTTGTTCCAAACTTGTCACCAAATGGCAACAAGCAGTACGAACACATCTTGTTGAAAAGTTGTGAGATTTTTACGCGTGTAACACCTTACCAATAAGGAACAATCTTTGCCAGACCTCCAGAAAGAACACTTTAGAACTGATAGTCCTATCCAGTATAAATAAAGTTAGTTTAGTTTAGGTTTCCTCCTGTAGTAACACTGGATCAATAAGAGATGATCCTTACTGGACCTCTAGGAAGAACAGTTTAGAACTGATAGAACTATCCAGTATAAATAAAGTTAGTTTAGTTTAGGTTTCCTCCTGTAGTAACACTGGATCAACAAGAGATGATCCTTACTGGACCTCTAGGAAGAACACTAGTTTAGAACTGATAGAGCTATCCAGTATAAATAAAGTTAGTTTAGTTTAGGTTTCCTCCTGTAGTAACACTGGATCAATAAGAGATGATCCTTACTGGACCTCTAGGAAGAACATTTTAGAACTGATAGAGCTATCCAGTATAAATAAAGTTAGTTTAGTTTATGTTTCCTCCTGTAGTAACACTGGATCAATAAGAGATGATCATTACTGGACCTCTAGGAAGAACAGTTTAGAACTAATAGAGCTATTCAGTATAAATAAAGTTAGTTTAGTTTAGGTTTCCTCCTGTAGTAACACTGGATCAATAAGAGATGATCCTTACTGGACCTATAGGAAGAATAGTTTAGAACTGATAGAGCTATCCAGTATAAATAAAGTTAGTTTAGTTTAGGTTTCCTCCTGTAGTAACACTGGATCAATAAGAAATTATCCTTGCCGGACCTCAGGAAGAACACTGTAGAATTGACAGTCCTATCCAGTATAAATAAAGTTGGTTTCGATGTTATGTTTTATTTGTGCATTTCGTTTTCCAGGCAGAAACGGTTGGAAAGAACGGAGAAAAGGGAACATCGAGAAAATATTTGCGGAGATTTAAGTCTCCAAGTCGAACATTCCTGCAGTTGAAGACCGAGCGATATGCAGTTCAGGTAATGGTGGAAGGGTATTATAGATGGAAATTATCAAGTGTAAACTTTTATTCATTTATTTGGACATAACCAGGCGCAAATATAGGCGCTGTGGCAGGAATCTGCGGCCCTGCAACAACAGAGCGGACCTGCGGCCCTGCAGCAAAACTCAACTTCAACTTCCAATGAGTTTATCTTATTTTTTCCTCAGGCTGGTGAAGACATCATATTTAATATGACAACCACAGAAGCGATTTCAACCTTGAACTATCTAGTGAGTTTACAGTTTTGGAGAATTTAACTATACAGTATTTAACAGTGGCCGCCTAGCCAGCCTGATAATTCAGTCCCGCTATGCAAATTCAAAATTATTATCATTATTCATTTCTTTAGGAATGATTGTTTTCACAGTCAATTTGCATAGCGGGACTAAATCGTCGGGCTGGCTACTGGTATTTAACCGTTCAAAATTTTCTCAGTATTACTGCGCCGGAAACAGGAGTTCCCGGGAAAAAAAAAACTATGTTGTGTTTGGTAGAGTCAAACTGGAAAAAATGTTTTTTTCATTGATTGTTTATTAAATTTCTCACTCATTGTTGAGTGATTTCCAGACAGGCTACTGTCCAATGGACCATTTACATTATAGACTGCATTTTCAAAATGCAGTATTTGATCTAGACAAAAATTTCATCACAGCTTGAAAGAGCATCACAAAATTAGTAATATTCCAAAGTTTCGTTGCGAAATGTTGTAAAATGCGGAAAATATAGCCTTGCGAAATTTGCAATTTTCAGTCAGTCATTTTGTATTACAAACGGGAAATTGATGCCCCAACACCCGATTGGGCTGTCAATTTCCCGTGCGTAATACAAAATAACTGAAAAACGGCAAACTTCGCAAGGCTATATTATCCGCATTTTACAACATTTCGCAACGAAACTTTGGAATATTACTAATTTTGTGATGCTCTTTCAAGCTGTGATGAAATTTTTGTCTAGATCAAAATTTAGTCTATAATGCAAATGGTCCATTGATAGGGGATCCGAGGTGTCTACGATTTTAACGTCTTTATCCGAGAAGACGCGAAAGTGTATAACCCACATACTGGTGTCAATGTAAAGGTAGCTCTTTCTCCTCAACTATTTTAAGAGCTTGAATAGAGGTCCGACCAAGGATTGAACCCGAGTCTCACAGCTTGAAAAACAAGCGTGGTCACAACGCAATCTTCTCGCAATTGCAGGAATCAAATCCAGCCGTTCCAATCTTCTCAACAAGCTTCATGGCAATCTTTTAATCTCCCTAGGTTCTCTCAAAAGGCAATATTATTCACAGTAGCTTCCTGTCCTACTCTTCAAATGTCACATCTGCAACTCTGAAGATAGCCTCAACACGGAATATGTCACCTTCCGTAAATATCGTCGTCTATTTTGTGAGAGCAGATGGCGAGATTATTGCCGATAGTCTGAAGGTTACAGTGAACGGCGCGTTTGAAAACATGGTAGGGATCTATTGAAGATGTTTCGAGAATGTGGTTATCTTTTTACTTTGGTTATAATAAATAATAATAATAGTCATTGAATTGTTTCCCGCCATTTCAGGTGTCTGTGAAGTTTAGCAGCGAGCAAACAAAGCCAGGAGAAGCTGTGAATGTGAACGTGGTGGCCTCGCCATTCTCTCAAGTTGGGCTGTTGGCAGTTGACAAGAGTGTTCTTTTGTTGGATCAAGGAAATGATTTCTCCGTGTCTCAGGTAGAGATCTCACCTCCAAACTGTTCTCTCTGGAGGTCCAGTATAAAGGCTTCCCCTTAAGCTCATAAACTGTTCTATCTAAAGGTCCAGAATGTTGATGTTCAATTTTTTCAGGTTATGCAGGAACTGGAAAGTTACAATCGGAACTACGGAGGATTTTCTTCATTCGTACGGGGAAGACGCAAGCGGTCGTTCAGATTTTTCCCTTGGTATCCGTCTGGGACAAATGTTAAACAAATATTTCAGGTATGACAGGAGAAGTTTGTAAATATTTGTATATATACGTATCTTAAATATCCAAGTTTACATCAAATATGAAAGTCTTCAAATATGTTGGTTCGCAACGCAAGCTTGTCGCCAAGTTGTGACAACGTTTTTGTTTTCGCAAGTCGCTAAAATCTCACATCTTGTAGCAAGTCTGCCAACAAGCTGTCAACGAGTTGTGTTCGCACTGCTTGCCCCAAGTTGTCAACAAGTATGAAGTTCTTAACAACTTGTAACAACCTTGTTGATATTATCAGACTTGTTGCAAGGTTGTTCCAACAAGTCCGATACATTGATGATATAACAATATTGTTACAACCCTGTGTCGTCAACCTTGTAACATTCTTGTTATATCATGACTGCATCAGACTTGTTAGAACAACCTTGTAGTAACAAATCTGATAATGCCATCAAGCTTGTTACAAGTTGTTAACAGTTTGTTCCAAACTTGTTACAACAACTGGGAACAAGCAGTGCGAACACAACTTGTCGACAGCTTGTGAACAGATATGTAACAAATTGTTTGCAGAACTGCAAACAAATTGTGGCAAGGTTGTTGTCAAGCCCATATCAGGATATGACACCAGTTGTGTCAAGTCTGGAACAAGTTGTTATCACCTTGTTACAAGGTTGATGACGGCAACAGACTTGCTACAAGTTGTTCCAACAAGACTAATACAGGCTTTTCTTAACAAGTTGCTACGAGCTTGTTGTCATCAACTTGTTAACAACTTGTGACATGCAGACGATATCAGACAGTCAGTGGTGCTTGTCCGTAGCGTGCAGAGGGGGGGGGGGGGACTTCTCCAATAGGTTGACATACAAAAGACACATAACATCACACGCATTATGTACGTGCACCTTATATACAATATCTCACGGTATGACCAAAAATAGTACTCGTGTACAGTGCATTTGCCTTGTTACTTGACACCACTGAATAATTCAGACTTCGAACAACGAGTCTTTTGGCCTCATCAACCTTGTATGTATCCACAAATTTAGCCGTAATATCTTACTCTAAGTTGTATTTTGTATAGAACGCCGGGGTTCTTGTTCTAACAGACAGTCTGAAGTTCCGCACCAAGCCCAATCGTGGATCATCTAGTCGATTTAGATGTAAGTAAATCTGACAAACTCGCGCGTGCATGTGAACTTTGTAAAACAGTTGATTTGTATATTGGACACGAATGCTATATTAAGAGAAGAATCGTTTGTATTTATATTACGCGCTCAAAACTATAATGAATATAATTGTTTTTGTTTGTGGAAACACCACGTAAATTTATTACTGCAATTTATTATTTACGTGGTGTTTCCACAAACAAAAACAATTATATTTTATCGCCATGCAAACATTCAAAGAACTTATAATGAATATACTTTGGAGTTTGGTTATGACTATATTCAATTTCTTTATTTCTGATATGTTTCTCAAGCGGCAAACGAACTTAGAAATTGTTTAAACTTCAGTGCTTTATCTGTAAAATTATGCTAAAATGAAGAGATTTTAGATGGTACGCCACAGAGAAAATGATGTCTGAAATTCAGTAAGTTTTGTTTTCATATTGCTGTATAAATATGGCGTCAATTTTCAATGATAATTGTGTTTAAGTTAACAGTATTCAACTATTATTTTGTGTTTCTCAACCGCCAGATGCATTTAAAAAGGTTGCTGACTGTGTGAACTACAAAATAACGCTAAAACAAAGTAATTTTGAGAGGAACGCCAAAAAGCCTCTTAAACATTCATTTCTTTTGAATGTTTTTTATGAATTATGAGAGATTTGATGAATAATTTTAAACTTCCTTTTCTATGTTAATTTTTAGTCTTTCAAAAATCTGGGGCTCGCGGAGGTCGCCTAAAGTCAACTCGCAACAGACCTTCGAAATTGGCCCATGTTACAAAAGTTCGTTCATTTTTCCCCGAAACATGGCTGTGGGAAGACGTTGAAACAAAGTACAAACTTTTATAGCTTCTGTCTACTTAATCTCGGTCAAGGGAGCTGATGAGAGTTTACAGTCAGACAACTTGCATGTTAGACTAATTTTTGATCTAGGTAAAAAAAGTAAATTCCCGTAAATTTAATTAAAGAACTTATTAAAATTAGTAAGATTGCAAAATTTGGTTACGAAATGTTGTGAAATGCGGAAAATATAGCCTTGCGAAGTTTGCATATTTTTTTGTATATGTTTGTATTACGTGCGAAAATTGTTACCAATTTTTTAGCCGAAAATGGTAACAATTTCTGCACGTTATTCAAACATATTCTGCACGTTATTCAAACGCTAATATTATCCAAATTGGATTATGCTGATGGTGTTTTCTATCCACTCCCGCAGTTTCTATCAAGGCGCTTACAGAAAGTTCAATTTGCAACTGCTAGTTTTGTCTTGGGTCGATATGTTAAAGATCAAAAGGATATCCTGGAAGTTGGATGGCTTCCAGTTAACGAAAGAAGAGACCTCAACATCCTGAAATCGAGTTTCAAAGCCATGTACTTCCCAGAGTGGCCAGAGTATCTAAAGCTAGAACGACAAACTTGCGTTCGAGAACTGCGCTCAACCAATGCAGTTAGACTAGTAGTGCCAAAAGAAACTGGAACGTTTCAACATAGTGCTGCGAAACTTTTTAATTCCTTACCTGAGAACATCAGGAATTGTACTAATTACAAAGTATTTTTAAAATTAACTAAAGAACTTTTATTCGAAAGAGCACGCCAAAACTAGTTTTTAATCCGAACATCGATTTTATCTAATTTCAACACATAAACGTTATAGTTCATAGTTATAGAATATAGTATTTAATTAGTATTTTAACAGGGAAGAGCCATATGTATGGATCTGTTGAATAAATCGTTATTATTATTATTATTATTATTATTATTATTATTAATGTGCAAACTTTGCAAGACTATATTTTCCAAGCTTTACAACATTTCGCAACCAAATTTTGCAATTTTACCAATTTCATTACGTTCTTTTTCGCTGTGGTGTTTGATTCCCTTCTCTTTACTTAGATGCAAGTTGTCCATTCTCACAGGGCTGACAGGGGACATTTCAAACTCTAGATAACAAAATAAAGGTTTGATGAATGTTCCAACTATGTTTTATCTTAAATAGAATACATGATAGTGTTGGGAAAGCATTAAGAACAGCTAACCAAGATCGTGTGACTGCAAACTCTCATGCATTCTCAGCCTCATTTGCTCCGGGCTTTAGAAGTATGTCGTAAAATGCTATTCTTAATTTGATAATGTATTGTTCTTACTTTTTGCTATTCTAGTTCATCTGGGCATGCACAAGTGCAGAGTGTGTCGCCGGATACAATTACGTCATGGGTTCTGAGTGGTTTTGCTGTATCGAATGAAACTGGCTTTGGAGTCGCGAATGAAAAACCACAGGTATGAAATGAATGAAACCTGCATGTTCTTCTCAAATGCGACTGAGGGGAAATTATAATCAGACAACTGCATTTTGCAGGAATCAAGCAGCGATATATGTTGATGTATTTTTGTTTTTTATGTAGCTTCGAGTATTTCAGCCATTTTTCCTTTCCATGGATCTTCCTTACTCCGTAATCAGAGGAGAACAAGTTGCCGTCAAGGTGATCGTCTTTAACTACGAGAAAGAAGATATGGAGGTACTAAGATAGCTGAGATCATCAAACTCGACTAACTTTATTTAGACTGGATAGTTCTATCACAATTGAGTTCTAAACTGTTCTTCCTAGAGGTCGAGTAAGGATCATCTCTTATTGATCCAGTGTTACTACAGAAGGAAACCTAAACTAAACTAACTTTATTT